CAGAGTGGCAGGCAGAGGCAGAGGGAGAAGCAGGCTCCCCGCTGAAGGACTCGATCCAGGATCGTGACCTGAGCCGAAGGCAGCCGCTTAACCAACTGAGCCACCCAGGCTTCCCAAAGACTGACTTTAAAGAAAGGTTCCTATAACATCTCTGGAGGGAATGAGAATAGACAGTGAGCTGATCTGAAGACTCTTATACAAAAGTTTCTGTGAATCTGGGCATAAATACTTCAAATTCCTAGACAAAGTTACCAGCTTCAGCAGTTTGGAGAGATTGTGCCCTTCAGAAAATATCAGAACAAAAGTGGAACAGGATTACTGTAAGAGGGACATTAATTATATGGGGATTAGAAAAACTGCTTTGAGATGATACTCAACCCTTTTCAAGATTGTATGTGTAGTCAGGCAAAGTATTCCTTATACAGAGAACAATGATGTGACTGCCTCCTGCAATTAATTGCTGGGTTATCTTCAACTTGTGAAAATGAAGAGTACTCCTGTAAACTTTGGAGTGACCTTAGAATCATGAATTCTAGATCTGAATGGGCAAGATTAAGATTTTTTTTTTTCAGATAAAGCCACTCACTATTAAAGATAAGAGGAAAATTTTAAGAAAACTGGAGGAAAATGGAAGAAAAAGTATATGTGGTGGAAGAAAAAGAAACATATCTAGGATGCAGGGGTACCCAGAAATAAAAAGTTAGCTTGGTTTGGAAGAAACAGCATGGAGAATTGGAAACACTTGGGAGTCTGACACACTTAGTTGGGCTTTAATTCCAACTTTATGTCTGTGTGACCGTCATCTAGTCACTTATTTCCCTGATTTGAGTTTTCTACCTGCAGTGTTACTTTTTCATTGTTACTGTGAAGATTTAAGAAGGTGATTTTAATAAGTTGAAACTTGATAAAGTTTTTTTTTTATTTTTATTTTTTTCCCTTTGGGTCCCATGAAGGGGAAAGCAGGAGAAGAGAGGCAATCCAAAAAAGATTGAGATGAAGCTATAAATACTTGATTTCAGACACATTTACAAAAAAAACCTTTTAATTCTTATGAAGTAGATTAATGGGTTTAAAGTAGTAAGGAGCAATAACTTAGAGCTTGGGAAATGAAATCATTATTGGGGAAAGAAAAAGCAATTGAGAAGGAGCATGCACAAACAGGAAATTCAAACTGAGGTGTACCTAAATTGGAAGCATAATGAAATTATGTGAACGAAGTCAGGGAAGCAACTTATATCCAGTTTTTCTGCAAGACTAATTTTGGCAAGAAAGGCTGAATTTGTATGCATGGGCACCAGGTTTATGACTCTACTGATGATCAGTATGAGAGCCTTGCTGATGGGGAGCCAGTTTTCATTGATTATTTAAAAGATCCCTTTGTTCATTTTGTAAGCTGTATGAGCATGAAATTCAAATTCGCTATTGTACATCTAGAGCCTAACAATATATGAGTTCACCACCAACATAACCCAAAAAAAGGAGAGAGGGAAGGTAAAGCATATAAAAAAGTCAGTGTTATTTAAGAATATGGTTTCTTTTCCTGCATAGAGTAAGGTGATTCTGGAATTGAATTATGTTTTAAGGATTTTATTTAATTTGTCAGAGAGAGAGAGAGCACAAGCAGGGCAAGATGACAGTGCGTGTCTTCAGTTTATTGACTATTTTAAGCCCACTATTGAGACCTACTGCTCAGGGAAAAAAAAAAAAAGATTCAAAATATTACTGCTCATTGACAATGCAACTGGTCACCCAAGAGCTCTGGTGATGTACAACAACATTAGTATTTCATGCCTGCTAACACAACATCCATCCTGCAGCCCATGGGTCAAGGAGTCGAATTTTGACTTTCAAGTCATTAAATACGTCTATGAAGTTATAGCTGCCATAGATAATTATTCCTCATGGATCTGGGGAGAGTAAGTTCAAACCTAGAAGGGATTCACCATTCTAGATGCCATTAAGAACATTAATGATTCATGGGCAGAGGTCAAAATATCAACATTAACAGGAGTTTGGAAGTTGATTCCAGCCTTCATGATGACTTGGAGGGCTCGAGACCAGTGCCGTCAGTCGCTGCAGTTGTCAAGTCAGGACATCTGGTATTAGAAGTGGAGCCTGCAGCTGGGACTGTGTAACTGCAGTCTCATGATCAAACTAAATGGATGACAAGTTGCTTCTTGCAGATGAGCAAAGGAAGTGCTCCCTTGATATGGAATCTGATCTACTCCTGGTGAAGATGCTGTGAAGATCACTGAAAGGACGACAAAGGATTTAGAATATCACATGAACTCAGTTGATAAAGCAGTGGCCGGGTTTGAGAGGACTGACTCCAATTCTGAAAGAAGTTCTACTGTGGGTAAAATATTAACGGTGTCACGTGCTACAAAGACGTCACTCATGAAAGGAAAACCAATGGATGTGGCAAACTCTATTATCTTATTTTAAGAAATTGCCATAGCTACCCAAAACCTCAGCAACCATCGCCCCAATTGGCCAGCAGTCATCAGCATCAAGGCAAGACCCTCCACTTGCCAAAAGGTAACAACTCACTATTGAGACCTCAGATGATGATAAGCATTTTTTAGCAATAAAATACTTTTCGTTAGTGTGTGCACATTGCCTTTTTAGACATAATGTATTTCACACAATAGACTACAATACAATGTGATCATAACTTACAGGCACTGGGAAACAAAAAATTCATCCGACTTGTTTTATTGCGGTATTTGCTTTATTGTGGTAGTCTGGAACCAAACTTACGATACCTCCTAGGTATGCTTGTATAAAAAGAGACAAGT